GTGATGGATATTAACTAATCTTATTGCAGTTATTTCACAGTATATACATATATCATGACTCTATACACTTTAAGCTTATATGCTTTATATGCTTATATATATGTCAATTTTATCTCGGTAAAACTAGAAAAAATTTTTAAAAAATAAGTGAATACGAAATAAATAAATGAATTGAGTATGCAACTAAAATCCCAGAAAAAAAGTGGATGGAATCAGCATAGGAAAGTGGTAGTGAATGCCTCATGTGGCTTGAACACCTCACCACTGCTGGTCTTACTTTCCTTGCCAAACCTCTCAGTTTTCTCTCTTGTCAGTTAACAGAGACTTTTGAGGCTGGAAAATTCCTGAGTTCATTAACAAGTTGCTCTCCAGAAAGTGCTTTGAGGTAGAGCTAATTTTCTTTACTAATAAGAGAAGCAGTGGCCATATCAGAAGAAGGAAGTTATTTGAATATGTGCCCAAACTATGTTTTCTATCTTTCCTTTGTTGAACATTCAATGGGAGTTATTTTCATTAGCTCCCCTTCTTTACCCCATTTCAATAGAACAGACAAGTCAGTCTTAGAGATGATAAATGACTAATAAATTTTAATTGGCACTTCAGCTCATAAAATATAAACAGTCATTAAATTCATCCAGAAAATTGTGAGAACAGAAGGGCTAAAAATGGCAGAATGTGCCAAAATAGCAGCCTCAAGATCTTCTGGTTTCCTTCCATTCTTAAGACTAAATCCTACAGCCAAAATTCCTAGTGGGATAGAAACGAATTAGTTAAGACTTCTTTTGAAGGGGTTATAAATGTGGGGAAGAAGGAAATGAGTTAAAACATACAGATGTAACATTAAAACACTTCCTCCATGCAAATGTCCCAGTGAATGATGTGTTCTTTGTTTACAGAAATACCTGAGCGCTGCTCTAGTCACTGTGGAAAGAAAAAAAGATTAGGTGTGGATTCTTCTCTGATACACTGGCTAGGGTGGAAGAAAATGCTACTTTTTAAAATAAGTAGACTGTACTTGAATAGGTGCATAAGTATCAATAATGATGAACAGAGAATCCTTGCCTTCAAGAAACTGGTTATGCTTCTGCAATCATTGCAAGGCAATAAATATTTTGTTTTAGGGATCTTTTTAAACAAGATTCACTGTGGATCCACACCGGTGGCTTCTAGAGCAGTTGTCTATTTTCCATCATCTTTTAATCCTGGGTGACCTAAAAGGACATCGGCTAATTTGAAAGTCACAAAGTGTTTTTCTTGGATGCAATAAGTCCACTTGTATAAACTGTCCTAAATAAATAATAAGTGTTTGCAAGATTTAATTGTGACAATATTTACTGCAGAATTGCTGATAATAGCCAAAAATTGTGGGGAACTATCAACAATAGGAGTTTATCTACTTAATAGGACAATTATCCAGTGAGTCACTGCAGTGTTTGCAAGCGTGCAAAATGCTGGCCTGCCAAGGTAAGAGGTCAGAGGAGAGCATGGCTTTCTGGAGGAATCACTCTTGAAGCAGGTCAAACAGATTCATTATCTAAGCTTTTCGGTTCTTGATGGAAATTAAATTACGGAAGACCAGCTGTGCCAGATACTGCTGTTTAGCTCTAGTCTACCATTCTTCCTAAGGAAAGGAAATCTGATCTTATTTGGCCAATGGGTCCAGGTTAAAAACAAACAAACCAACAAAAACATTTCCCAGGTTTTTTTCCCTTCACTTAGAGACAGCAAATGAAATGCAAGTAAAAATTAATGGGTGTGAGAGCTTGGAATGCCAGTGATGGGAAGGACAGACAGCTGTCAGGGGACTCTTTTGTTCTTTCTCCCCTCTCCCTTCCTGTTGAGTAGAATTTGGGCATGATGGCAGGAGTTTTAAAAGCCAGCTTGAACCAAGAGCCATCTGTACCATGAGCTGACGACCTTGAGGATGAAAGTCCCTTAGCAGAGAGTAGAAATACAGAGGTGCCTGGGTCCCCAGTGATAAGAAAACACAATATGAGCCCTGGACTGCTTACCTCCAGAATTCTTTACATAAAATCATAATAAATCCTTGTAAAGTTAAACCACCATTATGTCACTTTTATGAATGTGCAACTGAATCTAATTCCACCTGATTCACTAACTAAATAAATATAAAAGACTAAATGGCAATCAAAATGCTCCTTAAAGGCTCACTCGAGGCTAGGAAGCAGAACTGCTGACATTGAAACCCAAGTCTCCAAGGACAGGAAGAAGGCCGGCCAGGAGGAGAGCTCTCACCAGAACCCAGCCATGCTGGCCTCCTGATCTCAACCTCCCAGCCTCCAGAATTTGTGAGGAATACTTTTCTGTTGTCTCAGCCAACCCGACTATGGTATTTTGTTATGGCAGACCAAGCAGACTAAGATATCCTCTTCCTCATGCCAAGAGAAAAACACCTATAAAATTATAGTGATATTTATGTAAATGTGTTGGCATCTCAGGGACACAATTTTAATAGCATCTTTATGTGAGAACAACTCATTCATGCTGAGTTTAAGCCAGCATCCTGTTTTAATATCACCCTTACAGGACTAGAGTCTTGTCAGTTTTTTTCCTTCCATAGAGAAACCCAATACATGGTCCTTGATGAAGGGTTTCAGTGATAAGCAGATATCAGTTGGTGCTGAGCTTGACTTTTTTCCTTAGTCCAAGTGGTCATGTGATGATCATAAAGACTTCAGATTATATGGATTGGACCTGATAGTGTTAAGAAATTTCCTTCATATTTTCATTTGTTATTGCTCCTGAGATATACAATGATCCAGTATTTTTTAAATTACAATAAAAGAAACTGGAGAACAAAGTCCTAATATAGTGTCTTTTAAAGAGATAATGGATTTTGAAACCTTGTCAAACATGATTTGTCTACACCATTGTAAATATTAAGGTCTCTACCTTGCCCTCACTCTCTCCACATTTCTGTACATGATTTTAAAGAAAAAAGAAAAGAGAGCTGAGTGCCTTGTTAGGGACTCATAGAATAAAAAATAAATAAATAAGTAAAAACTAACTAGGGAAGGTGAGATACCAGTGGAAGAGATCAAGAGTTCAGTGGAGTTAGGAAGCCAGAACTAGGAGTGGGGAGTTAGAAGATAAGGTCCAGAAGATTATGATCTGGAGGAGAACATTAACATGGGATAGGGGGCTCAGATCAAATACATATAAATAAATCTTAACAGAATTCTTCAGTTGATACCTGAGTAACCTTTGTATATAAACTTGGACTCAACCAGTATTCTCACTTCTCTTACCAAAGGATCAAAGATCATGGGGAAAGATACATGGAATAAATTTTTATTTCTGATATAGGAAGTCAACTCAATCTTAGAGCTTGGGAAAGCTCTCCCCTCTGAGAACTCATTTGAAATGCTTCTGATCTGACCCTTTGAATTTTTCCTGAGGAAATTAATAAATAAAACACAGACTATCTACAACATTCATGAGAAATTAAGCTCCAGTTAATAGAGCAGACTAAGAATTAGAATAGAATACACAGCTTTTCTCTTTGACAACAGATAGTGAGATTTCAGTGATTTGTTTATTGATTATTTCTGATAACATTTTAAATTCCAAGTAGGTCTTTTTGCCACCTGTAAATTCTTACACTCTAAAAGAACACATAGCTCCGTAGATTGTGGGGTTACAACAGACTAATGGAAAAAATATAATGAAAGTGAGTTAATACATCCTCATCCAGGGATTTTACATCTCAGCATTTGCTGGACAATCCTGGTTAATTCTTACTCCTATAGTTATAGGAGTGAAAAATGGGGCTCCTGTTTGTAGGAAAGATAGAAAGGGCTTTCTCCCATCACAAGTTGCACCCGTGTGACTCAGGTTCCTCTTACTATCTCTCTATTTCTCAGTAATAGTGCCCTTGTTTTCTGCCCTGGTCACTGTATCCCAGCTCAAGCAGATGTGCTGGCTACACTTTGTTAGAGAGGGTGGCGGGTGTGGCTATTTCAGGCTATGAATGGTGTATGGCTAAGGTTCTCTTCTAAGTTAGTGTTGTATTTTTCTAATCTCATGGCTCAAGACAAAATTCCCAAGAACTGTCCCCTGCCATTACTGCAATGCAGCAAACTGCCCTTTCTGAGAGTTTTCTACAATGGCTCCTTGTTAGCACTTTATACTTTAAGAAAATTTTTTTCATTTGCCTTATAGTCTTATTCAAATTAAATTCACATGATAGTTATCTTGTTCCCAGAGCTCAGGGTACTGAGCTTGTCTTAGCCTGGACTGTTCAGGAATCCCATTTGCCCACTCACTTCTCTATCATGTGGAATAGGACTCTCTCCTTGGGTATGTTTTCCTTTTGAGCATGAGCCCTACAGTTTGGACTCTACCCACCTCTGTGGGGCATCTTTCACAGACCAATTTTTGACTTAAGAATATGTCCCCATTCCCCCTTTAGCTGTGATGCATTCACACTTCCACTGCACTGGCCATTCCACTTTTAAGCATACTGTTCCCAAATATTTTCTTATGTCCTTATTCTATACCCAAAAGAGGTGTTACAAGTCACTTACATTTCAAAAGCAATGCCCACAGATGTAAATCTGCAAAATACTTGAGACTTCACGTTTATTATTAAATAGAGATAATTCAGGCTCATTTTCCAAGATATGTTTTTAAGCTATTAATATGGTAGGATATGGTAATATTCCCTTAGTGAACTATGGAGGCGGCTGGACATAGGGGGTAACCCTACAGAGCCCTTTGGTGGCATTAATAATGGTTACTTCAAGTCTGTTGTATGGCAACTTGTTTTTTAATGGGATCTTACAGATATTTAAATGTGTTAAATTAGCCAGAGTAAAAATCCACATACGGATTTTATGTGCCTATAGAAATTACTCCCAAATTTGCTAATGCCTTTTGGACTGATAGTAAATCATTTCTATTGGTAAACTAATTGAAAGTGAGGAGCTATAGGAATTCTGTGTGCAGCCTACTCCTCTCCCATCTGCCTGGGAACTTACCGGTGATGGCCAGCTGAGTCACAAAGAAGGTCATCCTTGACCTCCTCTTCCTCCTCCATGTAGAGAACAGCACAATGGAGTTTCCAACGATGGTGAAAACAAAGAGGACCCACAGAGTGATCAACTGCTCAGTCTGCGAGAAACAAAGAAAGACAGGACCAGTGAACCAGTGAGGATCAAGGTACCTTACAGAATGCAAGGTCAGGCTTGTGTTCCTGCTCACATATCCCCACCCCTCAAAGCTCGACTCACAAAGACACCACGGTACTTATTCACACTGATAACCATGTAGATCGATGCATCCTTTAAAAAATCTATTTGGAAATATATGCCAAGAGACAAGAAAGTATATATTCTTTGACCAAGTAATTTTTAGTCTATGTGAGAGAGTTCAAAGTGTGCATAGATGTGCACATTTATTGTAAGAAGAAAGTAGAAATTGCTTAAAGATAGCAGGAGAGTTAAGTAAGTAAAACACTTCAGTTCAATGAACTATTACGTAGCAATTAACAATGACAGCCAAGAAGATTATGGAGCAACAGTAAAAATGCTCATAATGTAATGATAAGCAGAAAAACTTGATAAAATTGTATATTAGGTGTGATTACAATGGCAAAATTATACATGTAGCAAAAAGACTGAAGTATACTAAAATTTAAGAGTGGCTATTTTAGGGTAATGTGATTATGGGTTATTTTACTCCTTTTCCTTTGACAGAATTTATAATACAGTAATATTAAAGTCACACTGAATATTAGTATAATTAGTAAATAATGGGAAAAAAGCAAGACCACTATTCATTTAAAATGCCAAGTCCTTCATTTAATTTTTCCCAAATTCCTTCAAGTGGAGGTTGTCATCTGTTTAAAGTCCATTAACTCAGAATAAGCAGAGGCACTGAGATGGGCTAGATACAGAGAGGGCAGGACTGGGCTTTGGGTAAAAAGCATGGGGCCAAGTGGATCCAGAGGCAAACCCCAAACCAAAAGCCAGAAGTCATCATCCCAACAGGTCTGGGAGCAATCCTGAAAAAAAAGCAGAAGTTTAAGACTGGAATCAGAAGTACTTCTCCACTTGATTGAGGTAAGAAGAGACTGAAGCAGCCCTTTGTGACGGTCATGTGTCAGCTGCATAGGCTCTAGTTCCTACTCGTTCAGCCAAGCACTCGTGTAAGATGTTGCTATGAAGATATTTTGTAGATGTGATTAATGTCTATAATCACCTGACTTTAAATAAAGCAGATTACCCTCCATAACACTTGGATGAGCTTCATCTAATGAGTTCAAAGCCTTAAGAGAAAAGGCTGAGATTTCCCAGAGAAGAAGGAATTCTTCCTCAAGACTTGATCAGCATCATGGAAATCCTGCCTGAACTCCCAGCTTGCTTCCACCATTATGGGTGTCAGACTTGACAACCTCACAACCACGTGACCAAATTCCTTAAAATAAGTCTCTCTTCGTATGTACACACACACACACATATATATATGCACACACACACCTATACACACACATATATACACACATACACACATATACCTGTATACACACACACATGCATAAATACATGTACATACATATATCCGATTGGTTCTGTGTCTTGTGGAGCGCCCTGACTGAGAAACTCCCTGAGTATCTGAGGCATCACAGCTGCACATTTTCTTACATTAAATCAATTTTAAATTATACAATAACAAATAAAGTCTTCTTTTAAAACTATAATAACTCAGATAAATCTCAAATCCTCTTTGGCCATCACTTGCCATCTTGATCAACTCCCCTCTTCCAGAAAGTGAAATATTATTTTGATTACGTTACATATCCTTCCTATCCTTTGCAAAATACTTTGTATGTGCACACACACACAGACCCACACATATGTATCCATGAAGAAAAGATAGTATTTTTTTGGTGTGTGGCTCACAGTTTGACATTTACTATGCTTTGCATGTTGTGCCTCTTGCTTTTGGAAAAATGGCCAATTATAAAAGGTGATATTTTCATGGAGTGGAGTAAAATATTTCAAATGAAAGAAATGCATTACATTCACAAAAATAAAGTAAGCTGAAGATGTAGGAGAAAGTATAGACTGAGGGAGATATGGGGGGGGCGCGCCATTAGTGTGCTGAGTCAGCTCAGATTCTCTCAGCCCCACGTCCCCGGAGTATAACATCTCTGGGAGTCCCTTGGGGTTACCAGGTGGAAACCTTAACCTGCTCTGCCAGGTTCCAGAGCTGGGCCATTTCTCACAATTGCTCTTCCAGCCCTTATCCTTTCCAGTAGTCCAGGCTGGAGCCAGCATCTCTGTGAGTCCTGCACTTTATCAAGGCGATTTTTTAGGTTTTCCATCTCAGATTGATAAATGGGTCCCTAAGGCCCTCCGTGGACGTCAAGGTCTTGGAACTGTAGAATGGTGGCCCTGAGGGAGGACAGGCATGGTGGTGGTGCTGGGGGGTGGCTGGCTGCGCAGCTGGAGTGGGAGCACCATAGGGCTGACAACCCTCTGCCACCTTGTAGGGCACAGGTGGCAGGCAACTCACCTCCAACATGAGTATGTCATCTCCCACTTGGAAGGTAGAGGCTTTGCTCAGTGCTGTCCACATACTATTTTTCTGGTCTTTTTCTAATCAGAGGGGGCACATCTGTTTTGGATGATTCATTTGTCTAGCAGTCTGGGGTGGCATGGAGAAAGCATCAGGAATGGGCACTCATCATTGTGAGAATAGTGTTTTCTGAGTGCAGCGAGGAAATGATGTTTTGTTGAATTCTCTCCTTTGAGATAGATGGGCAGCTGCACAGGCAGGGGCAGATACAGCAGGGGAGGCCTTTGATGTACCAGACTAAAGTCCTCCATTCAGCAGCTGGTGTGTAGGTAGTGGGACATAAATAAGTGTTTGAACTTGGAGGACCTACCATTTAAAACTGTAGAACACCTTGGAGACCTATGTAAGACAGTAGGTGGCTTGTAAGTCTTGTTGTCAGGTCTCACTGACTCTGATACTGACAGATGGTATAGTTGAGGGCCAGGGTGGGGTATGAAGCATCTATGCCCCAGTCTAGTCCGGATATAGTGTGCTATCAGGGAAAATAACGGCATCCTGGGAGTGTATGTGGTTCAGGGAAAGACAAAGGAGCCTAGAGCAAGTGTTGTGGCAGCTAGGGGCATGCAAAGCCCTTTTTAAGCCCTGCTGAAAATTCAGATGAGAGATTTTCCAAGATTTCCTACTGGTTTTTTTAGTTTATCTGTTTCAGAGGGAGAAGCATTTTGATGCCTTAAACTAATTTGTTATTTTGAATTAAAGAATATGGTATCATGGCCAACAAACTTTCTCAGCCTGGGTGGGGGGGGAGGGGGAAGCTTATTTCCACACTTGTCCAGTACTACGTCCATCTCTGTTGAACTTCTTCAGCCTCAGATGAAGAAGGAAAGAGAAAGTTAGAACGCTTGTGCTATTTCTCTGCCAGATCAGAAACCCAGGTCTGGGGAAGTGGGGAGAGAGCAATGTCTGGAAGCAGGCAAAGGAGGCATGCACTTCGCCAGCATGGTAGGGTGTAAGGAAGGTAGTGGGTGTAGGGCTGTTTTCCTTACTCTCCTTCACCAGCAACTCCATGGCCCTGCCCAGCTGCCCATGTCCCTCCAGCTGGGAGAAAGCAGCTGGCCACCAGACTCCTGCATGAAGTTTCCACAAATCTGCCCCTGCCTCGGCCCCTGGATTCCGCCTGTAGTGGGATTCCTCTGGGATTGCCCTCCTCGCCACTGATTCTCCAGGGAGGCTCTTTCTTTACATGAGAGGGCAAATGATCAATCTCCCTGCCCTCAAACATCTACCTAGACTGTACCTTAGATTCCTCCTGTTCTCCAGCAGGGGTGTTTCAACCTCCCCTCTTTTCTACGTCTGACACAAAATTTTTTTCAACTAAAACTACACTCCAAAGGCCGTTTGGTAAGAATTGGAAAGAGTTGATCAAGCGAACAAAGTTAATTTTGAACTAGCTATCAATGTTTTTCCAAGAATATATTTCTCCTCATGCCTCCCTTTCCTCACTTAACTGCCTGTGCAAATAGAGTTAGGCTATGTCTCCCAGAAAAACAACAGTGACGGGGGTACATGTTTGCTTTTCGTGGGGTGTGTTGGGGATTATGGTGCTGGCACCTAAGTTCAGGTTTCTAGAAACCACATTTCTTTCTAACGGAGGAACCTCTGGCCTCCCAGTGGGCATGGAATGGCTGCTTTCTTTGTCTTTGGACTGCACATTGCCCACCCAGGCAACCGGTTTCATCAAAGTAGGCTTGCAGCTCAGATCTGCTCTGCTGGCAGCACAGAGTGACAGACGAGGCCAATCAAATCACCCTGGTTAGATGTGTCAGTGAATTGGGAGCCAGGCCTCAGGAGGGCTGCGGAAGAAGTTCAGGCTTGGTTGAGCCTTTGGCCTATGAGTTTGCTGTAGCTGTGCTTTGTGTTCATAGAACTAAGGCTCTCTGTAAACAGATCTATTCTCCTTGGGATTGGATACTGTCTGTAGGGCAGGCTGAGCAAATCCTGTGAAAAAAACAACCTGACACTTGCTTTTGGAGTTTTCTATTCGGAACTCAACCTTATCCTCTAGGCTTCAGAAAATTTCCAGATGGGAGAAATCTCCCATTATTGCTTTATAGAGTCTCCCTAAGAGTCATGTTTATTTATTTGTTTATTAATTGTCTGTAGTGTAAGGCATTGGCACTATAAAGAAGAATAAGACATGGACAGTATATAAATTATACTCAGCCAAGTTCAAATCCTGATTCATTGAGTAGCACAAGGGTCATTAAACATGAAACATTTATCATTTATTCATAACATACTTACCTATGCATGCACATATGCAGAAACACACAAATCACAGGGTAATATAAGGATTTGGAAAACTATGACAATGGGAACTAAAGATACAAGGTCAGAGGCATTTAAGCATCACAATCAGGTGAGCAATTTGCTAGAAAAGTGAGTAGGCAACCAGTTTGACTTGGGATCAGATTCTTAGCTACTTGCTAATGTGTGGTACATGGGTAAGTGATAAACCTCTCTGAGCCTTTGCATTTATAAAATTAAGAGAAAAAAATCTGGCTCAGGATATTTGTGATGGGTAGATATCA